ATTTGGAAGTGGTGTAAATTGGTTTGAGAAATAACTAAATGAAAAAAGTCGTTATCAAAAAATAACTCCGTTACTTCAGTGATTACTTAATTCTACAGTTACACCCGACATGTTTGAATAATCCTCCAAACAAGGTATAATGTCATATTCATTCCAATCTTTAAAATCACTTTCACTATCGGATTCTGTAATATTTCTTTTTTGCCGTTTTGGTGGTATAACGTCAGATTCATCACTTTCGGAATCACTACAATTTATTTCGAAATCACTTGGACAATCAGATAAATTGTCCGCGTGTAATTCATTGAAAAGTTTTTCGCCGATACGTCATGGTTGAAATTTATGGAATTATACTAAAATTGTGATAAAAAATTAAATACCAAGAAAAGTAATTTTTTTGTTATAAAGCGGACATGACTAAACGTTGTTCCGTTGTTCATGACTAAACACGTTACGCCAAGTTTTTGCAATATATTATATCGCCCTGGATGTCATAAATTGAAATGTATAATACAAGTGCAATGACGAGTTAACTCGTCACCAGTCAACAACGTTGGGCACAGAATAACCAGAAGTGACAGTGGCAATATCCCGCCAAATCCGACGCCATATTATAGCGAGTTACCAAGGTATGCCGCTATTGGTAGTAAAGATTTGGCGAAATACCGCTAGTGTCACTTCACTTCTGGTTATTCTGTGCCAAGGTCCGTTGAGTATTGGTTATATGGAACTTATTATATTATGAAATTAGAAACATTCGAATTTAGCCGCACGTCTCTTAAGACGGCTAAACCCAAATGATTCTAGTTCTATTATACAGTCTGTCCGTAAAGTAGCAGATATAGGCAATAAAATCATTATAAACGGTTTGTGGAAAAATCCTTGAAACGGGTCTAAAGATTTAAATTTTTTTCAAATGGCAATCCCCCATTTTTATTACGGAATATGAAAGACGACATTTTTTTGAATCTAGTACAGTCAATATTAATATTGGTTACATAAGAAAATTTTCGAGAAAAATGACTTTAAAGTTTAACTACTTTAAATTTGATGACATGATAAAAATAGCATTAGCTATGAGTAACTATGGTAACTAACTATTTTAAACAATTTTCTAAGTGTCAAAAAATGATTTAGTAAGTAGTTGACCTCCTTAATGCAACATTTCCTGATCGAAAACTGTTCAGCTCAATAGTTGGTAAGCCTAGCTGTGACTTAACTTAAAAAGCATGAATATCTTCGATATTTCTCAAAGTCTGCCCGACCAAATGTTTCAAAGGAGGTTCAACAAAAGGTGGTTTTGGCTGGTCGAGGAATCTCTTATGTTACTGTCAGAGGTGTTCGGTCGAATTTGGACATTAGTAAATCAACGGTTCATAAAATTTTAAATACTGCAAAATATTATTTCTACAAAGTAAACCTCATTCACGATCAATGACTCGTGAGTAGTTTTTCCAACAAAAATTTTGCTACGATGACTAAGACTTTGTTAAAAACATTTTTTTTCCGACGAGGGAACATTCACATTGAGTGGCTAAGTAAATAGATAAAATTGTCGGTATTGGGCTACCCAAAATCCACTTTGGCCGAGAAGTCGTACACCCAATATCCGCAAAAGATCAATGTGTGGAGCAAAATAGCATGGGATACTATCCTGAGTTCTTATTTTGTGAGGAAACCTTAGCTGGAGGGAGATGTTCAGGCTTTTTCAAAACGATATCATAATGTTGTCCCACCTGAATTCTAATGGTAATTATTCCAACAAGGTGGCGCACCACTACACTTAAACAAGCTTTACCAAAATCACTTTTTGACACTTAGGAAATTGTTTAAAATAATTGGTTACCATAGTTACTCATGGCTACTGCTACTTTTATTATGTTAAGCAAATTTGAAGAAGTTAATCTACAAAGTAATTTTTTTCGAAAATTTTCTTATGTAACCAATATTAATATTGAGTGTACTAGATTCAGAAAAAAATATTCTTTCATATTCCGTAATAAAAATGGAGGATTGCTATTTGAAAAAAATATCGATGACGTCATATCTCGTTCAAAAATGGCGGAAAAAATTGAAATATACACCAAAAAATTGGAACAAATTTAAATCTTTAGACCCGTTTCAGGGATTTTTCCATAAGCTGCTTATAATGTTTTTATCGCCTATATCCGTTACTTTACGGACAGACTGTATAATCTAATATACGTACTTTTCTAATACGTACATTTAACCTTTCAACTACTTCAATAAAAATATACAACAATTTAGCGCTTAATGACAATTAAAACTAGAACTAACACTAGACCTAGAACTAGAAAGTTTCCGGTTTAGCCGTGCATCTGAGGACGCACGGCTAAACCCAAATGTTTCTAGTTCTAGTGTTAGTTCTAGTTTTGCACTAGCACTGTTACTATGTAGAACTAACAGTATACCTAGAACTAGAATCATTTGGGTTTAGCCGCACGTCTCTAAAGACGGCTAAACCCGAATGATTCTAGTTCTAAGTATAGTGTTAGTTCTAGTTTTATACTAGCACTGTTACTATGTAAAACTAACACTATACTTAGAACAAGAATCATTTGGGTTTAGCCGCACGTCTCTAAAGACGGCTAAACCCGAATGATTGTAGTTCTAGGTATACTGTTAGTTCTAGTTTTACACTAGTACTGTTACTATGGGGCCGGTTGTACAATATACCGATAAACTTCCCGACAGCGTTATCTGGCAGATAAGTTAGTTTGTACTGTATTACAATGTACGGATATTTTTGTCGGTGAGATTATCGGCAGGATAACTTATCGGGTACTCAGCGGTGCCGATAAGACACTTATCCGCCAGATATTTATGGTTACCAAGGTTTTTATATAAAAAGTTTGTATGATTACTGCATAGGTTAACCTCTAACATTAAACGTTAACCTTATATGTACGATGTGTCAGTGAAAATTTTTTTTAACAATTTATATTGTCAAAATCATAATTCAAACTTCAAAGAAAGACGTTGGCGTTACCATTCTACGGCATAAATCACTAGATATGGGGAAAAACTACTACCAACCGACTCTTATTCCGCCGATAGCAATCCTACCGACAAAAACAGTTTGTACAACAGCGAATATCTTTATCCTCCTGATAAGTTTATCGGGCGGATAGATATCAGGTAGATTTATCGGTATATTGTACAACCGGGCCTATGTAGAACTAACAATATACCTAGAACTAGAATCATTTGGGTTTAGCCGCACGTCTCTAAAGACGGCTAAACCCGAATAATTTTAGTTCTAGGTATACTGTTAGTTCTACATAGTAACTGTGCTAGTGAATGAGTACCGAATGATTCTAGTTCTAGGTATAGTGTTAGTTCTAGTTTTATACTAGCACTGTTACTATGTAAAACTAACACTATACTTAGAACAAGAATCATTTGGGTTTAGTCGCACGTCTCTAAAGACGGCTAAACCCGAATGATTCTTGTTCTAGGTTTAGTGTTAGTTCTAGTTTTACACTAGCACTGTTACTATGTAGAACTAACACAATACTTAGAACAAGAATCATTTGGGTTTAGCCGCACGTCTCTAAAGACGGCTAAACCCGAATGATTCTAGTTCTAAGTATAGTGTTAGTTCTAGTTTTACACTTGGATTGTCACTAGAACTAATATTAGACCTAGAACTAGAAACATTTGGGTTTAATCGCATGTTTCTAGAGACGGACATAACACGATGTTGTTATGAACGTCATACAGTATGTTTACTCAACGGACCTTGATTCTGTGTTTTTGGTAACTCGCGATAAGATGGTAGATTTTAAATCGAGGTCACAAAACGAGGTGCCGCCAACATCAAACAAATCCACGTCACTGTCATTTCTGGTTATTCTGTGGTTTGGGCATGAAAAGACGAGTTTACTCATCACCGATCAGTAAAGTGTTAAGAGGCGCGCGGCTAAACCTAAGTATTTCTAGTTCTTGGTTAATGTTAGTTCTAGTGACAATGTTAAGTAGCGTTGGTTAGCACTAGATATCGCATATTTTTATTGAACTAAAACTAGAACCAACACTAGAACTATAAAGTTCCGTGCGTCATTAGACTTAGAACTAGAAACGTTAAGACATGTTGCATTTTATGTGGGACAAAGTAAGTAGGTACACTCTGGTTTCTATGGAAATATATTTTTGTATATTGCATATTAAGTGGAATTCACTGTATGTAATAAAGTTAATAACATTCGTAATCCTCATTCTGATACCTACTGGCAGTTCAAACTTAGGACTTGACGAAAGAAGATACCGGTTCTTGTCAATAGCTCCTAATGTATCGTTGAATTGTCTAATGTTGTCTTAGGATGCACCTATGATTATTTAATTGCATCTAATTGTTTTGCTTTTCGTGGATCACACTTTTAATGCTTTATTCGCATCATTATTTAATTGTCGTGCCCAAAAACAAATTATTTTAATGTCATTGTGAAAAACAAATATCTATTGTTTTACCTAAATATTCCAAGTCCTCGAAACTTTGTAACGGAAGAGGGCAATGCAAGCGTCGATGCATTGATTTTTCGTGCAAACTCGTTTTTTGCATGCCTCTTTTTCGAAAGGGTTCTTTTTTTCGCTTGTTTTTTTACGACTTTTTTTTTGAGTAGGTCCGAAGAGCGAATGGGCTCTCAAATAACTCCATTATCAATCGACTCGACTCTACCCGTTACCGCCGCCTATGTTTGTGCCCTGTCCATGCGCCTTTTGCAAAAATAGTGTCCCTTTTTCTATTTCAAACACAACACATTCGCGTACAGTCCCGCACAAAGTTTTTTAAACCACACGTACAAGAATTATTTCCTCTCGTTGTCTTTTGTAACTTTTTACCAATTATCCGATACCGTACACAATTTTTTTTTGTTAAGTCTTTTTAGTTATTTGACGAAAAAGATTTGTGTAGTACTAAACAAAAGCTTTTTGAATTTAATTTTTTTATTGTTATATTTTAATTATTTTGTACATACGTGACCCAATTTATCTTCTTTTCGTCGTTTAACATCTTGGTCCACATCAGCGGGCGATCTCGTCCTATATTTTTCAGGCACTGGGGATATGGGGTTCTAATAATTATACGAAAAAGACATCTTTATAGCGATTTATGATTGTTTATTAAAAGTTTCTTACCAGTCTTTCCTCGGCATTAGCAGATCCAGGACCGGATTTCATTTCGGCACTTTCTCTACTATGTAAGTCCGCGGGTTTTAACAAGGCATGGGCAGCACCAGCTACTGCAGCATGAGGTCCGCCTGGTGCTCCGGGAAGACCGGCACCGAAACCCAAAAGTCCCGTGGGACCCAAACCCGGAAGTCCAGGATGGGGTCCCATTGGAACACCCGCGTGAGGTCCATGAGGTAGCTGTTGCGCGTGTATCTGTTGCTACGACGAAAATTAAGTTAAAAAAAAAGATTCTTAAATAATTGAAGAGAAAAAAAATGGTTTAATAGTGCTTTCTATATCTACTTAGAATAAAAATAAGGCGGAAACGTGCAGAGCAGGGTGAAAACATGCAGTGTACAAGAAGCAGAGGGGAATTTTTTTTATTTAACTTTTTTATTTAATAATAAAGAGGAAAAGATGGAGCAGTTACTACACACTACTTACTAGTAATTGCTGTAGACCTTGCTGTTGTTGTTGCTGTAAACAACAACGGAATTCTTTTAATACGACTCGTCGAGTTTTCCGACACCGATAATTAAAATGTTTTTTAAAAAAGATTCTTTTCATTTTAAACAATTTTTACTCATTTTAATAATCTTAGCTACTTTTTAACTAATAGAAAATAAAGAAATAAAAAAGGGGAAATAAAAATTATAATTTTTAATAAAAAAAAAATAATAATCTACTCGCAACAATTTAATAAACGAAAACTCGGCGAAGAGTTTTAACGATCTTACCCCGATTATTTGGTTGAGTTCCGTCATTGTGACCTGTTTAGCCCTTTCGACTGCCGTTGCGACCTGTTGTTGATGCTCTTGCGCAAGGAAAGGCAATACTTGTGCTATTATCCCACTTAGACGTTTTGCTATTTCAGTCTAAAAAAAAATATATATAATTACAAAAAATAATTAAAATATATATAAATTAATTACCTGTTTGTGCATTTCTACGTTAAGGCCATAGGACATTTCATAATACTAAAAAAAAAATAATAAAATAAATACATTTTTTTTGGATTATAAACATTTCGAGTGTATTACTCTCGGCGTTTTATTTCGTATAAAAAAACGACGTAAACTTTTTGTGTTAAAATGACATCCAGCGTATAAAAAATGTTTAATATTTACAATGCGCTATGAAAAAAAAAACCCTTTTGATATAAAACAAAAAATAGTAGATGGAAATATGAAAGTAATACAAACAATATTAAAAATGAAACTTTTTTTTCAATCCACTCACCATGACGTAGTGTCGTTGCATTTCAGTCTTTTCGCTAGCTAATTTCTCACATTCGAGTTTTAACCTGAAAAATAAAAATTTAATTTAAATAAAACAAAATTTAATGGATTCATTTTGTATTGAATTTTTCATAGGAAGTTTTTAGCTAAATATTTTTGCTAAATTGACTTTAACCCTTTGTGTCCCAAGAAGTCAAAAATTTTCGCTATCAAAATACAATCAGTAAAGGCCTTTGGAATCAATTTGAATATTTATTTATCAGACGTGTATCTACAGAACGACGAAAATCTGATAGAATATTGAGAAAAAATTAACATTTTCGCATAATCTACGTATCAAAAAGGATGCTTATTCTAAATTAAACCTCAAAGCTTTCTCTTTAAAATGATGTATAATAATTGTTGGGTTGGATCACAAAAATATGGAGAGAAAAAATGTTGAAACAAAACTTACATTTTCGTATAACCTAAAAATGTCAAAAAGATGCTAATTTAAAAATTCCTGGAAGCCGCCTTTATTGAAATTAAGGAATGAAACTTGTTCTAAATTAAAGCTCAAAGCTTTCTCTTTAAAATGATGTATAATAATTGTTGGGTTGGATTGGAAAAATATTAAGAAAAGAAATGTTGAAACAAAACTTACATTTTTGTATAACCCAAAAGTGTCAAAAAAGATACTAATTTAAAAATTCATGGAAGCCGTATTTATTGAATTTAAGGAATGAAACTTATTCTAAATTAAAGCTCAAAGCTTTGTCTTTAAGATGATGTATAATAATTGTTAGGTTGGATTGGAAAAATATTGAGAAAAAATATGTTGAAACAAAACTTACATTTTCGTATAACCTAAAAGTGTCAAAAAAGTTGCTAATTTAAAAATTCTTGGAAGCTGTATTTATTGAAATTAAGGCATGAAACTTGTTCTAAATTAAAGCTCAAAACTTTCTCTTTAAAATGATGTATAATAATTGTTGGGTTGGATTGGAAAAATATTACGAAAAAAAAATGTTGAAACAAAACTTACATTTTCGTATAACCTAAAAGTGTCAAAAAAGATGCTAATTTAAAAATAAAACCTGATACGGGTCATTGTTCGTATGACAAGTGGTACATCCAAGTCTTCGGCATTACTCCAGAAGAGTTTATAGCTTGGCAAACTGTGATAACTCATTAAGAAATTTATGCCAATATCTTCTTTTAAGTTTAGCATTTTATTCGTTTGGTTCACACAGTTGCCTATCAGTGTTAGAAAATAATCTGTAGGATTAATAAAGTATCACCAATTATTCTCTCTGGATAATGGTATCCTGGAATTTCAGTCTGTTTTTCCCGTCTTCTCCATTTTCTATCAATTTCTGCCTTGTTCTTCTTGTTGGGCCCTTTGCCACATATTTCTACTACTTCAGCGTCACTTTCCTCATTTCCATTAGTTACTTATTGTCAATGATGGGCGTTGGGTAAATACTCGGCGGGTAGGTATTTATCCGAATATTTACCCCAGCCCAGGATAAACACTCAAACAGTGCCTACGTATAAAAATGATACAAGTAAAAATATAACAGATTCGGAAAAAAACGAGAGCAAGCTGATGAAATAGACATTGAAGACGAGGAATTGTCGATCGAAGACGTATTAGCATCAAACGAATCTGTCGTAATTTAGATTATCAAGTTATTATGATTAAAACTTAATATAATATTTAGCGTTTGTTGTTTCGTTCAGCATCAGTTTCATCTCTTCAAGGCTATCGGAAATAAGGACCATATCATCCGCGTAGCGCAAATTACTTAGGTATTTGCCATCAATGTTTATGCTTTTTGGGTCTAATTCAGTTGTTTAAATGCTTCAGGATCGTGATGAACAATTTGGGTTCAACATTGTATCACCTTATCTTACCCCATGACCAATGGTACTTTTATGCAATTTTACCGTCATTGTAGCATTCTTGTAAATGCTATAAATATGTTTGGTGTATCGATAATCGACTCTGCATTCTTGAAGTGGTTGCAAAACTGCCATCAACTCAATTTGAATAAAATTTTATAAATACCTCTAAATACCCATCTTGGGTAAATACCCCCGGGTATTTAACAACACTGCTTATTCTACTTCTTCATCTTCCAGCATAGGTACTTCACTAGCATTAGTAATAACAACATTCATCTTCTATTTCTCAATCTCAGTATTGTACATGTTATTATCCTGGCGGTACTTTTACGTACCAAACACAAGATGTAACCTTCTTCGGGATAAAAATAAGAAATATTTGAAAATTGTAATTGCAATACGTAAACAATACACGAAGTTGCTTACAAATCACACCTAATAACCATTTACCAAAGAGATACCTTTTTGAACAACAAAATTCAACAACACCATTTTTCACTAAACTTCTAACCTCACATCTGGATGAATAAGTTTAAATATACCTAAAAACCCTACAGTGCAGAATGAGTGTTTAAAACTAAGAGTACTTTAAAGTACCGTCGGGACACAAAGGGTTAAGTTTATAACCAACCGAATAATACCGGATTAATTGGACATTAACTGCCATTTTTGTGAAACCATGTGGAAGAAGTAAAGATTCCATGGATTAAATATCCCATGGATGTCACACACGAACAACCAGGAAGGTTGAAGCTGAGAAGGTTGAAGAAGGATAGGCACCAGAGACCTGCAGCGAATGGCTCACATAGTGAATCTGATTCGTTGCTTGAGTGTTGCCTCCATTCGTCAATAGTAATTATTTATTGTGAATCATGTGGTGCTCTTCTTAAGTTACTGTATTATCGACTCCGAGACACCGAATGGCTCACATGTCGAATCATATTAATTGATTCGCTGTTACTATATTTCTTTCATCTGTCAATAGAAGTGTGAATCGTGTAGTGCTCATTCAAAAGCAACGAATGGTTTAAAATCATTCGCGAAAAAATGCAAAACTGGTACAAAAGTGTCTAAAAATTATCAAAAATATTAATTGACATTGCACAGCGTACTGATTGATATTCTTTGATTTAAATGAATAAAATAAACCCACAAGTTTGTAATAAAACTAACTAGTTTTGTTAATATCATAGTCTACTAATAGTGTCATCTATAGATTAACATTTTTTAAGTTCCAATTTCTTGAAGTCGAGTTATTGGAATAGGGTTCTTAAGCGATTTCGTGCATGATTTTTGTAACACTTTTTTTGGCTAACTTTGAATAATTTTAAACAAGTTCAGAAAATGTTGAAATTTTTTAGAATTTTAGATAATATTGCACATGCTTAGACAAGTTGAAATAACTATAGACAAATTAAACAATTTTGGGCAAGTTTAGGTAATTTTAGACAATTTTGTAAAGTTTTTCCGAATATAGACAATTTCAGATATTTTTGTGCATGTTTACCTAAGTTTAAATAATTTTAAATACAATTTCATCATTTTATGCAATTTTAGACAACAGAACAGGACAGGTTTAGACAAGCTTAAACAATTTTAAACAAATTTTGCGCTTTTAAGTAATTTTAAACTAGTATGCATAATTTCAATAACATTTTGATCATTTTAAAATATTTTATAAAATTTTGACAATTTTAGATATAACCAATTTAGACTATTTTTTTCAAGTTTGGCCAAGTTTAGACAAGTTTAAACATTAATTTATTTATGTTCGGTATTAAAATAACAACGACTGTATACTAATGATTCGCGAATACTTTTAACAATTCGTTGCTTTTTGTTACATATGAGACAGGCGCCTACTGCTTGATGTTGTAGAACAACACTACACCATATTGAGCAAATCGAGTGTTGCATTGCAACGTGCTCTTAATGTTGATGTACCATTAGTCTTTCTAATGGACATGTCTTAAGAAATGAAAAACACCAATTGTTGCAACTTATAATTCAGAGACAGGGTTTGAGATGCAGAATATTAGGAATTGGACAGGTTTAAACTTTAAGGACTTTATCAGCGCCACGGCGGATCGAGAGACCTTTTCGGACGTGATCGCTAACCTTCGATAGCGGAGATGGCACAAATAGAATAAGACGTAGAAGAACATTTAATTTGTACCTAAAATCTTGAATATTAATCGTACAGACACTTGAAAAGTTTTTCAGATCCTTCAAAGTTATGAAGGAATGATTGTAAACCGGTAAAGAAAAGGCATAGAACTAAAACCATTGTGATAACTTAAACAGTACGATTCCCCAATTGATGAAGCTTCTGTGGAAGCCACACGATGACATCTCACCAAGAAGAACAGAGTGATTATACAGGGTGCGGCAAAACTCTCTCCCTAATTTGAATGTTGAATAAAAAAACAGATGGTACATATTAACGAAACTGTATTAACATGAATAGGATCTACAGAATGGGAAGTTACGTTATTATGTTTTACAAGTTTTTTTTTTTGAACAGTATATCGCTCAAGTGTTTTCCTTCGTCATCAATGCATTGCCGAATGCAAGTTCGGAAGTTCGCCATTACTCTACCCAACATATCTTGAGAAATAGCAATCTCTTCTTGAATCGCTTGTCGTAGGGTTGGCAGAGTCTTCGGACGATGTTTGTAAATTTCAGCCTTAAGAAATCTCAAGAACAGGGAGTAATGTCTGGAGGTCGTGCTAGCCAGTGGACAGTAGTTCTTGAAAATATCACCTTCTTGTGCGAGCATTGGCCCCGTCCTGCTGAAACCACACATCCTGTTGAATCTACAGCGCATTGAGTCGTGGTGCCTAAAAGTTTGAAGCATTTGAATGTATCGATCCGAGTTAACGGTCACTGTCACTATTCCCTCTTCAAAAAAGTACGGGCGGTTGACAACTTAATTTACCACCAATAGCAGCAATACCTTGCTTCCTCGCAACAATATGGCGTCACCGACAGTGATAATAAAACTTAAATTTCCCCCCCTCTTAGAATTAATACTCACTTTTCTACACGTTAACTGAACTAGGGAAGGAGTTTTGCCGCACCCTGTATAAGGACAGATGTAAATGTTTTCAACACTTCCGTTTACAGTGATTGCGCAATCTGACTAGAGATGGAAAATTTTCGAGAAAAAAATAGGAGA